GGGTGACTATCTCACTACAGTAACCTAACAGTAACCATACACAGTATACATGTCAAAGGAAGAATGTTTTAAAAGTTCTCATCTGTAATTGGTTTAATTTCCTTCTAAACAAATGCAGAAAACTAAGCTGCTGGAAGCCCTGAAAGGCCATCACCTGTGTTCTCTGGATTCCTGGGACATGGAGGGGACCCCAAAGCTAAATGTCAACTGTGAGTCTTACTTCTTGCAGTTCTGCCTTTCCATGGGCTCTTCACACCCACTCCCCTCCCTTCCTCCTTAGACACTTGGAAGAGTTCTGGGGAGGTCAGCACTCCATCCCATAAATGTGGTCCTTAATAGTTAGGCCAAGCTATGGCAATGGTAGTAATTGCAAAGTACTTCCTTGCCTTAAAGAAAGAACTTGCTAAAAAATCCCTCCATCACAAATATCCCCTGTGAAACTTATGAACACTTGATGAAAATGCAGGGAAACATACATATTTATTTAAGCAAAAGGATCGGAAAAGCACTTACTTTATCGTTTAAGGTAGGATCATTCAGTGAGTAGAGCTTATTCGTTATGTCTTTCCCTATAAGATACCTAAAAATTTCATAGAGAAAAGGCTCTGACTCCAGAAAGTAAGTCAATCTTTCTCTTGACCAACACAAAAACCTGCAGTTGTCATCTGCAACAATGGTGACCTGTTGAGGAAACAAAGAACTAGCAAAAAGTCCATCTGCACACTCGAATTAGGAGTTTATTAAATTGACAGAACATTAATTGGCACTATCATAGATATATTTATTAAATTAATTATAACATAACATACTATATAGAATTATGTTTTAAGACACACAAATTAATTATAACCTAATATATTATATAGAATTATACTTAAAGACATATAGTCTGTAGACTAAATCCAGGCAACTTCTCTGAGTTTTATTGCTTTGGACAAAAGAATGGCCACCCTGTCAATACTGCTATGGAGGTTCCAATGGGATATATTATTTATGGTAAAATATTTCTTTACCTGCTGCTGTTTACAATGAAGTTTAAAGATAGGCTTTCATGCAAATGCACTAAGGATACAGAAAGAGAGTGTGTGCATGCGTGTGTGTCTGGCTCTGGGACTTGAACCCATGCATGTTCTATCACTGAGCTCGCTGCGCTGCTTACATTGAGCCACACCACCAGCAATGGAGGTTAGACTTGTAAAGCAAGTCGTCTAGGAAAACTTTCTACCCAGATGACTCATTAATAAATGTGAGAAAGACTCAAAGGCTCAGATAAGCTACTGATAAGAACAGCTGGTGAGTGACCTTCTGCCACAGGTTCCAAGGCTAGCTCCAAGGTAGTCTACTGAGCTAGGTCCTCAATCTAGGATAGAACTGAGAAACTATACCCTCCTATGTAAGCTGTGCAACATGGAAGCACAGGGGTAGCCACTGACACAGCACTGGAGAACTCAAGCAATTCTCCAACCCCCTTCTTCATGCTTTCAGGGCCCAGGATCTAGAAGCATGCGAACTCTCTTCAACACTCGCTTGTATGCTATCTTTTCCCTCACGATGACACTCATATCCTAAAGACCAAACTTCTTAGCTGACATGTATGTGTGGACTCCTGAGCACACTGATGGTAGGGACCATGTGTCTTCAGGGCTGAATGTCTAGCTTCATCACAGAGTGCTGGTCTGCCCACACTGATATAACAGAGCTGACACAGGCAGACACTGTGGACAGAAAAGTCTATTTTACATCCTCAGCATTAGACCAGTGCTTGCCCAATCTGGAGATTGGTGAAAGCTAATTAAATTGACATGAAGTCTTATCTGGACCCCAGAACAAATATTTCCAAACAAGCTTTCTTTCCAGATGTCAAAGGAGGATTTAGGTCTACCAAGAGGAAAAACAAAAACAAAAACAAAAACAAAAAGCCCCAGCTTCCTGGGACCCTTACACCAACAGGCTGAAGCTGGAGCTTTGGAAAATCAGAGTAATTAGCTATTTCCAAAAGTAGGCCAATGTTCCCAGAGAAATAATGTTTGAATTTATTACATCAGAAGAGGCTTCATAAAAACCAAGCTGGATTTAAGAAATGCAGCTTCTGAGTCTACACAAAACCCTAAGAGATACTCTTCATCAATGTTCTCTATGACAAAGGCACTTCCTGCCAAATACCATCCAAAGCACTGATGTTACAATGTCAATAAGGAAGACAAGATGCAGGGTATAAAGATGTCTTAGTGGTTAAGAAAGCCTGTTGCTCTTCAAAAGCACCTGAGTTCAGTTCCCATGACCCACATCTGTGACTTCAGTTCTGTGGCATTTGATGCCCCTCTGCTAGGCATGGTACCCTCTGGAATCCTAGCACTCAAGAAGCTAAAGCAGGACACTAAGTTTGGAGCCAGCCTGGGCTACACAGTGAGTGCCAGGCTGAGCACCACAATAAGATGCTAATATAGGCAGATGGGGGAGGTGAGGAGCAGCTCAGTGGTAGGAATGCTTGCTGTGTACGCTAAAAACAGAGTTCAAATCCCAATGCCCACATAAAAATCTGGGTGTGGCCCCAGATGCTGGTAACCCTAACACTATCGAGGGCATAAACAGGAGGATCTCTGGGCTTGTGGGCCACCAGCCTAGCTCCAGGTTAAGTGTGAGACCCTGTCCTACAGGAACAAGGCAGAATGACAGGGAAGAACACAATGGAGCCTCTGTGCATACACACAGAGATGCACACCTGCACACATATCCCACACACAGACACACAGGCATGCACACCTGCACACATATCCCACACACAGACACACAGGCATGCACACCTGCACACATATCCCACACACAGACACACAGGCATGCACACCTGCACACATATCCCACACACAGACACACAGGCATGCACACCTGCACACACATCCCACACACAGACACACAGGCATGCACACCTGCACACATATACCACACACAGACACATAATAAATTAAATTAATATCAAGTTTTTTTCAAAAGACAAGATCCTTGTTTTAAGAATATGGCTGTTTTGCCTGTATGTGTGTCTGTGCACCAGTGTGCCTGCTGCCATGGAAGCCAGAAGAGGGCATCACATCTCTGGAACTTGAGTTCCAGACCGCCTTGAGCTGCCATGTAGGTACTAGGAACTGAACTGAGGTTCTCTGGAAGAGTAGTCAGGGATTTTATCCTCAGTGCCATCTCTCCAGCCCGAAGGTGCTGTTTCCTTTAAATACCAGTGAAAATGTAATGGTCATTTATCTTACAAGGGCATGGACATGATTTCTAAGACCTCTCCCTCAAACTGACTTTCAGGTTTTACAGCACCAGGGCATGTGACTGACCATGGGAGAGCAGCAGCCTGAGATGGAATCAAAAGAAAAATGTTTATCAGAAATGTTCACTCAATAAAAAGAAACCCCAAAACAAAGTACTACTCCTGCTTTGTGATAATGGTACTGAAGATCGTGTCAACAGCTGTAAGTGATAGCCTGATCTGCAAGTCCCACAACAGCAGGAACTAAGGACAGTGAGCTTCAGGGCCCATTTCGGCATTGCCAGTCTGCCTGTAGCATTAGAATTACTACAGTATTTACCAAATAACCATCTGTGCTGCCTTACAGTGCTTGTCTCGTTTCCCCTATGATACAGTTCATCAGCACCCTGACCATAGAATTAATTTAAAGAAGTAACAGCCTAGAGTGGTGGTACCTGCCTAGAATACCAGTACTTGGGACAATGAGGCAAGAGGACTATAAATGGTTTGAGGCCAACCTGGACTACACAGTGAGCTCAAGGCCAGCTTGGGCTACATAATAAGAGCCTGCATCAAAAAAAAAAAAAAAAAAAAAAAAAAAAAAAAAAAAAAAAGAAAAAAAAAAAAAAAAAAAAAAAAAAAAACGAAGAATAAATAAAGGGTTGAGGGTGAAGCCCAGTGGTGGAAACCTTGTCTAACATGCAAGAAACCCTGGGCTTCATATCCAGCACTACATAATCCCAAAACCCAAGAGGCAGAGGCAGGAAGATTCTAAATCCATGGAGATTCTTGGCTACACAGAGAGTTCAAGGCCAGTCTGAGATACACAAGTCCCTGTCTCAAACAGAGTAATCAAAAGGACATAAGTCCTTAACAGAATGCCCCCTAGGGAAGGGTGGGAATGTGCTTCTGAGAGAGGCCATATGCACACATGCTGGTGTGCAGCTACAAGAACACACATAAAGAACTACTTTTCACTCTTGAGTATCTGCCTACAGAAATGTTCTGTGAACAGTCAAAGCACAATTTCCCCGGGGTTTATTCTGGTGAAGCTGGCTCTGTGATAGGCACAGCCTTGATGGCAGTGTACTTTCTGCCCACTGGCAATCACAAAATACCCCAAACTCAAAAAAATACCACACCCTATGCCAAAGAAAGCTGGCTCCAATGATCAAGGATAAATCCATCTCTCATCCAGCTATGGTACTGCAGTCTCCATCATGTTCTTGGAATCTTCACATTAGTTAAGAACAATTCTCAACTACTAAAGCCCGGTCACCAAGAAGAAGGAAAACTGTTGTTAGTGGCAGTGACTTTTTTGTTAGCTTAATTAGAAATGTAACTTGGAGTCCAGTGGAGAAGATGTAGGTGTTTGTATACCTTGTTCCTCGGGGATTATTTGCTTCTAGAACAAAGGTTTATTTCCACCCCAAACTCAGTGCTCTCTTCAGGATAATAAGAGACTAAGTTATTACATAAAGCCACCTGCTACCACACTGAGGAAAGAGTATAACAGATAGAGGTGGAAGAAACAATTGTATGGAAGTCACAGGAAAAAGAAGTGACGCTGTTCTGCTCATGGGTGGTGGTGGTGGTGGTGGTGGTAAACTCATTGCTTAAATAGAAGCAGACATCCTGGAACACAGACAACCCCCACCCAGTACCAAGGAGACAGAGCAGTTGGACACAGCGCCAGCTTTCTCTTTCTATATGCCAAACATGGCGGCACAGGAACAGAACCGCATCATCGGGTCTTACTCAGTGTTCCATTGCCATGCCAAAGGGAACTCTTACACTGGAAAGCATTTCATTGGGGCTTGCTTACAGTTCCAGAGGCTCAGTCCATCATCGTCATGGCAGGAAGCAGACAGACATGGCACTGGGGCAGTATTTGAGTGCTTTACACCCTGATTCACAAGCAGCTGGGAGAGAGAATGGGGGCAGCTGGGCCTGGCCTGGACTTTTGAGACGTCAAAGCCCACTCCTAGTGATACATCTCCTCAAACAAGGCCACATCTCCTAATCCTTCCCAAACAGTTCCACTAACTGGGGACCAAGCATTCAAACATATGCTCCTATGGGGGCCATTCTCACTGAAACCCCCATAGCCAGTGAGCTTAAACTAGTACTTCTATCAAACATGCCAAGTTTAACAAATTCCTCAACTACCTAGGCCTTTTATGCAAGCGAGTGATAGCAAGACAGGGCTGAAACACCAATGAAATAAACTAAACTGCACTTTCCCTTATCTCCAGCCTAGGGCACCTCAAGTTGAAGGGCATCCCAAACTGAACCTGTAAGGTTCCTCAGCAAGGCACACAGCAGGCCCTCTTTCTTCTGTGATGATATTCTCTTCAGTTCCGTTTCCCACTAAATGCACGCTGTATCAAAGCAGCCCTGTGCCCAGACTATCTCCTTGCTGCTATTCACCCAGAGACTTGGGCTCTTGGCCACATTCCTAAGAACAGCAAACAGAACAGGAGGCCTGGGGACTTAGAAACTATCACAACCAGCAGCAACACAACAGAGAAATTTATAAAAAATAAAAATAATAAAACCGAACATGCAGCATTTGAACTGCTGATACCACGAGGAATTTCCTCTTTGCTTTCAAACATGGTCACTACCTACAAAAGAATGACGTGATTAGAGATTTTTTTTTAAATTAGGTCTCTGGAGTAAAGCTAGCTTTCTGTTTTCCCTAATAAGATAATCAGTGATGTGTTTAGGGACATGAATTACCTACAAGTGATATAATTTTTCTCATAATAAAATTGATTTTTTAAAAAAGATTGCATTTATTGTTACTTTATGCAAATTTGTGTGAATGCCAGAAAGGGGCATCATGGTCCTGAGAAACTGGAGTCACTGATGACTGTGAGCTGTCATGTGGGTGCTAGAAATGAACCCAAGTCCTCTCAAAGAATTGCCCATGCTTTTACCCAAATCCCCAAACAATACGTTTTTTAATGGAAATATTACAAAATTTAAATGACCCCAAATTTTTGAAAAATGAAACAGCAAGCAAGCAATCTCACACCTCAGAAATAACAGTGTAGCACCACAGCTAGATTAGAGGATAGCTTTCTAGGCTCCACCTCCAGGTGGGCACATACAAACACTGTTGCAAGGTAGGGTATGTTGTTGTTTTGTTTTATCTAATTATACTATGTATACCCATGTGGCTCTCTCCTTTTTAAAAAGAAATCACAGTTACTTTCCCATTTCATTTGATTTGGATGAGATAGATACAAAATACTTTTAAACTTCTTCAAAGCCAAATCATACCTGGAATTTTTCCCCCTTGTGCATCTGGGTTGATCTGAATTCTGGAGAATCTACAAAGGCACAGGGGTAAATGTTATGCAGAAAATGTCCTCGGTAGGAGACCTTCATTCTGGTAACAGAAGTCAACATGTTAACAAGCATACAGCGTCTCCCAAAAACAAAATAATTCTTTTTATCACCAAAACATGATAGTGATGTATTTGCACTAGTTTTAAAGATTCTACAAGTAATGGACAACACAGCTAAAACACTCTCAGAAGCAAAATATATTTTTTAAATGACATAAGAAAAAAGAAGCATCATTAATGTAGACCAAGGTTACCATTATTGTCACTCTTACAGTTGGAGTGAATATGTAATTTGTACATTACAGACTTCTGAGGGGAAAGAGGATGCTGTTAATAACTATGTCTCAAGGCAGGCACAGTAACACATATCCACAGATCCAGTTAGCCATCTAAAACTACCACCAAATGAACACAGTAATAACTAGACCCATGCAACAATGATGACTCTCCCCTCAGATCATCCATATGTATTGTGATATTAAAAAAAACAAACAAATCATCTTTGCCACATGCATAAGCTTCTTGAATTTAATTTAAACCCATTTCAATTTTGATTCATTAACTTCAAGCAAAAAGTAAACATGGCTAAAAAATATTCACTGTTGAAAATTTTGGTATCCATATAATTCAGGACCATGGTGTCTACCTAGCTTAGGCACACTACTCCACAGCACCCCAAACATCAGTTGCAAAATGACCTAACACAGTCATTGCTCCCTCCATTAGCTGACAACATTTCCTTGTATGTATTCCTTCCCAGAGTCTATAAAAGATGGAAGGCAACCCAGTGATTGCTATTTCCACGTAACACTTACCTCCCCTTGAGGAGAATACTAAGACGATCATCAACCGAGGTTTTATCCTCTGTGGCATAAATTTGACCCTTTTTCAAGGTCTGGATCATACAAAACTGTCCAGTTAACCTTCTAAACAAATCGGGAGGGACACAGAGTGGTTCAAACAATCGGTGGTAGACACCACCCAGCTCCTTTTCAATTTTGACCTGAAAGACAGCGATGCCAAGATCCTGCAGTTCCCAAACATAGACTCCCAAAGGCAGGATTCAAGAATAAACAAATCTATGATACACACCAGTGACTTGCTGTACATGCTCAGTGGGGTTTTAGAGAGTTAGTAGTAGTGTATTCTATACTCTATTGGGGAAGGGAGGCGACTCTAATGGATCACACCTTGCTACTGATCATGAAGCAACCTTCCTCATCTTCACAGCAGGACATAACACAATGTTTGCTTCAAAAGAAGAAGTTACCTTAACTTCTAATTATGATAATGAGAAAGTAAGAATTAAAGGAAAAACAAATTTACAAAATAATGCATTAAGCATTTTATCTCCATGTAATTATTTAACGCATCAAGGCAGGAAAGCCACCACTCACTGCAATCACTGCCTTGCATTTGCATATTTGCAAGCAGAGGAAAAGAGAACATAGAGATCTCTGGTGTGGTGGCCTCATCCCAGCCTTGCAGCACTGAATTCCCCCTGATGAAAAAGGCTGGCTACTGACAGCTGACTGTCTTAATCACTCCTTGTCAAGAGTCTCTGAGGGCCAGGGCATGCAGTGTCTGCAAGCCACAATAATTGGGTGCATGGAAAATTGTACTGCACTGTGAATGAACTCTGTCCCAGTGAAAGCTCAGGTGACACACGACAAGAGCTGCAGATCCAGAGCACAAAAGCTGCTTCTACCTAATGTCACTCTAGTCTGTTCCTGGCTCGTTTTGATGAAGAGTTGGCTTTATTTATTTAAGTGATAGATTAAAAAAAAATAACAGAACTAACAGAAGCCTAGATGCCGGGCATTCCTTCTGGTGCTTCAATCACATGGGTAACTCACAGACTTTGAATTTGGGTTTTCAGAAAAGGTTATGCTATTTAAGAACTGTCATCCTCATCATTAGAGTTTCCACCTTCTCTACTCCACAGCTCTAGTAGTGAGCATTCAGCATTTCCTCACAAATCTATCCCACTTGCAGCCCACATGGTATCCACTGTGGCACAGTGATGAACATAGGACCTCTTGCAATCTAGTAACACACATCCAAGCCCTGGATTTCCTTTACATCTCAGCTCAAGACCCAGATTCTTTATGAGTTTGTCTGAATTATCTTCTTCAGAAGCATCTGTTTGTCATAAGTTTCTATGAGCATCTTCAGTGTGCACAGGGCTACAACGGTGAGTGTGCTTCGCTGTACTGTTGCTTGCAACTGTTGTATTCCTAACTCTGCCCTAACTCCAACATTAGCAGACTTGGCCAATGAAATAATGAGCAGAAGTGACACAGATGTGTTTTAAGAAATGATTATGTGTTTGTTTGCTTTCAAAATTATGTGTATGGATATTTGGTCAGCAGCAAGCGCAATCAGTGCCCATGGAGACAAGAAGAGGGCACTAGGTTCTCTGGAATTGGAGCCTGAGACAACCACCACATAGGTGCTAGGAACTAACCCCAAGTCCTCTGCAGCCGTGCTCTTAACTACCTCACCACCTTCCTGCCCCTTGAGCAGATGGATGTTTTCTAACTTCTGTATGGTCCCCTCTGCCATGAGAATGCACAATCTAAAGAGAACCTGCTGCTTTAACAGAGACCCCAAAACGTAAGAAAGAATCAGTGATGTCCGTCAACAGGTAAGGTGGGCAGAAAGAAAGGCCCCTGTTGTTCTGCATCACTGAGGTCTCATTCATCACATAGCCTAACCCAGAAAAAAAAATGACCAATACAGACAGGCAGCCCAAACTGAGTGGCTGTGTGTGAGGAGGTTACAGAGTAGCATAGTGCCCACAGTGTGTATCATCTGTATTTCTGTGTGAAATATCTGATTTCCTAATAGGTTTCTACATTAAATCCAGAGCTAAGGTGAGCATTAGAGCCTTGGGTGACTGAGTGTTTGTACTTATGACAGCCAGTGACCATGTGTGGAGTGATTTCTATGAACCCAGATACTTTTTACATTGTTTGTTTATGTTCTCGGAGGTTAGGTTTTGTTGGTGGGGTTGGCTATTGTTGTTTTGTTTTCTTCTGTCTTTTTTTTTAAGGGACCTCATTCACAACTCCAAGCTGACTTCAAACTCACTATGTAGACCAGGCTGGCCTTGAACTGTCACCCCACCTGCCCCATAAGTGCTGGGATCACAGGCATGCACCACAGCACTCAGGCTTGCTCTAATTTTGGTTTTGGTATTACTAAGAAGAAATAGTAAGAGAATCAAGAGTTGAAAATAAGAAAGTAAGTTTGGATATTCTGGTTAATATCCCCCAAAAGTGCTGATTTCTTTACATGAATATTTTTGACTCAAGAAAGATTAACAGCCATTATACTAAGAAAATAGAATGGACTATCTGCAAACCATTAGGATGAAATGGAAGTTGCTTATCAGTAATTTTATAATTAACCAAAGATATTCCCAAGTGATAACTGAGTATCAGCAGACCAGGAAATAATCACATAATATGCCTAAAAAAAGACAGTATTAGTCATGTGTTCGTGCTCTAGCAAGTCAAAGTTTGAAAAATTCATTTGTTAAACAAATTTCACAGATTCTCAATGCTTTTCTCTTAAGCATTTACACAGAAAGTTCAATATTCAGAATATGTGAGAGGGACTAAGGCTGTCAGCTGCTCACTTGCAAGTCTGAATGAAATTCTTTTAAAAAGCTTTCATATTTAAAGTCACTTTCTTATTAAGAAATTTAATAATTACCGGTCTTTTCTTGTACAAAAGATATGAAAGATGCAAGATATTGATACCCAAGAATACAGAGTTCCAGATCATTATATCCAAGGCACATCGGTAGAGAGTGGCCCAGACTACATAAAGGGTACATCCTGTTGAGTAACAGAAGTAGCATGTTAGACACTTAGAACAGAGTCAGCAAACAGCTTTAACAGAATCCTCTGTCTAGAACCAAACACATTTAGAAATACTTAAGCTGAATACCACATTTTATTCTAGTTTATTATTTAAAAAAGATATCCCACACCAGATAAAACCTCCCCCCCACACACACACACATACCACACACACACACACACACACACACACACCAAACGCCCCTTTGGTTCTCATTGCTGTTTCAATGTATTTCATTCTGCATGATCTCACCTTGAGTGTGGAAACTGCAGGCCGTATTCTATCAACTGAGGACATCCCTAGCCCTAGGATTTAATTTTTTTTTTTTTTGAGACAGTGTCTCCCTTTGTAGACCAGACTATCCTTAACTCTACATCTCTCTCCCTCAGTCCTCTATACACTGGTATTCCAGGCATGCTCTGCCACACCATTTGAGGGTACAATTTTTGGTAACAAAGGCGGCCTATCTTAGGAAAGAATTCTCCATTTTGACTGTTCACTTAGAGGGAACAGATGCCACAGCTTCAGATAACACTGAAGAAATGCTTTCTAGAAGCTCTCTGCAAACTTGCAAGCCTTTTAATTAGAAACACCAGCATGCATTGTCAATGTTATGAAGTCTGAAACTCCTCTCCAGGCTGCAGTGGCACACACCTTTAATCCCAGCCTTTGGGAGGCAGAGGCAGGTGGATCTTTGTGTTAGCTTGAGTCCAGCCTGGTCTAAAGAGCAAGACCCTATTCCCAACCCCCATTTTTTTTTAAAACCTCATTAATTTTTTTAAAGCCTACAGCACCTGGCATTCCCAAGTGGTCTCCCATCCAAGTACTAACCAGGCCCAAGCCTGCTTAGCTTCTGAGATAAGACAAGATTAGGCACATTTAGGGTAGTATGGCCATAGACTAAAACTTCATTATTTGGTAAGGAATATGTACTGCATTTTATTTTCTATTTTCGTGATTAGTTCTGAATTCAAACGTTTTATTTGGCATTTTGGGACAAGGTCTTGTGTAGCACAGGCTAGCTTTGAGTCCTCACTGTGGCTGAGGTTTTCACTGAGCTTCTAATCCTACCTCTTGAGTGCCACTGAAACATTTAGTGACCTGAATTTTCAATTGGTGATTATCCAATCAGCAAATTGCCTCTTCCTGTACATATATAATATAGTTTTAGTTGAAAATGGTCACTAAAATATAGATTTATAGATTCATGGACACATGAAAGCTATTTTTTTCACATTAAAATTCAGACATGCAAATGTCAGACTTCATCACAGTGGAACATCTGTGTAACCCTCATCCCTTTACTTCCTGGGCCTCGGTTTCCCTACTCATAAGTGCTGGGCTAAAAGATGCATTCTGGTACATTTTACCTCCACAACTGTTGTCTTTATATTTATAATTTGGATTATAGGTTCCCTCCATCCGACCACCTGCCTCTGGAATCCCTAACTTAGTAAACATTACACTAGCTAGCCTTTCTGTCTCTTCTTGTCACCTTTTGTATATTCAGGCACAAAAAGCTAGTCTTCTTTGTGCTATGCTAAAAGTTCTTCTCTTCTGTGCCCTTCACCAGGCTACTCCATGCTCACACTTAAGAGAAACTGGTCATTTTCCCAAAGCTATCTGTACTATCATACAGGACTTTGCCTTGCATTACCACTGAGCCTGTTACCTAAGTTTGCTCTGAGCACTGGGTATAGACCTCAGTGCTCATCGGACACCGCATACTGTGACTGCCCATCTGTCTGTCTAGGGGTAGAGACTGCCTTTCTTACTCTTTGTCTGATATATTTGCAAGTGTCATAAATGCACCTGAATAAACGGAGATCAAGAGGAGAAATCATATAAAGAATTTGTCAATAATTACCTGATAAAATAGAAACTCTATTCTTTTGATATTTTGATGTGAATAAACTTAGCATGCTCAGTTAATAGGGCCCAAAATATTCATATTATATACATGTTATAAAAATGCTACACTTGAATTAATATATGTGGTAATTGATTTTGTTCTCAATATAACTTCAATGGCTATAGCAAATTATCTTTTCAAATCATAATGGTTGCGACAACACTGTGCCAGGCACTAGCCTAACATACATTTCCCTAATTCTCACAGTAACCCTACAAGGTAGTTTTATTTTTAATCTTTCTTTGATACAAGGGGAAACTGGAGTGACAGAAAATTGAAGTCATTTGTTCAAGTTACACAGTTAGCAAGCAGTGGTGTTAGGACTGAACCCACACACTCAGGCTCCAACATCCACATCCTTGAACATGAATGAATTTTCTGACATGTAGAACCTGTACAGTATAGAAAGGTATACAGCGCTTACTCAGTAACCCACACAGTATAGAAAGGCATACACTGCCTTTGCAGTTAAGAAAGGAAGACAATGGCTGTGAGGAGGCCCATTTTCTAAGCTGGTGGACAGCCTGCTGACTGGATAACACTCTAGGCTCCCAATACAAAACCCACCCAACACCAGCCCCACAGAAGTTATTCAATCAAGCCCAGGGTGTCTCACCTACAGACAGCATCCCTCTAAGCAGTATCATGTGGAGGCGAAGAGTGGTTGGAATCACCAAGCCAACTGCTAAACAAACATTTGCTACATGAAAAACCAGATGATGAACCTCTCTCCAGTTTTCACAAGTGGTCTCATTGGAAGGCACAGGTGTGATGCTTCCCAACCCAGAGGTAAAACCTACTACAGTTGATTCTGCCAATGGGCTGAACTCTGTGTAATTCATGTTGAAATGTCCTATAAAGACAAATACACAATCAGTTATAAATGGAAACTTCATCTTATCATGCCAAAATTACTTTTACATTACATGCTGGTCAAGAGAGTTTTCCGAGTCTTATCAAGTGCATAGGTTCAAACTCCAGCCCTGTCACAAAGTAAGAATGTCCTCTTTATCTGCCATAATGATCCCCCATTTGCTTTTCGTTGAAATGAAACGTCTCAGAGAGTGCACAACTATTCCAACATATGCACACTTGTGTGTCAGAAATGAATACACACATACTTGAAGAGAGTTGGAATCCACAAGTATAAGAGGCTAACTCCCACATTCATGGGTCACAGCATTTATAGGGTTTAGCAGACCGTTCACACCCAAGCACAGGAAAAAAAAAAACAGTTAAAAAACTGGTTTTCTGAACCTTTTATAAACTGAACACCCTCACATTTATTACTTAAAAGGTTAAAATATGTACAGGGCTCTATTTTATGCCATTGCTAAATCATTGCCACATATCTACCATAATATATGCACATGATACATACCCTTTACTAGCATATACACCCAAATAAAGAATTTAAACAGCATTTAAAGTCTCCTTTATTCTCCAACTTAAGTCTCTATTTTCATTCCTCAAATAATTCTTAATGATAGAATCTCACAAATTAGAAAGTAGTAAATGTACAATTTATATGTGGGATAGTTCATGAATATAATTTTGGGTATTTAATATTAAGTACCATAGCAAATACATTTCAAGTAATATATATTTTACATACATTTATATAAAACAACACAAAGCAACACTCCATTATGTCTGTTATTATCTATTCTTGGTACCTGTTGCACATGTACAAAAAAACCCTTCATTATTAATTACATAAATTTGCTCCTTAACAAAAACCATGTAGGTTTACCAAAGACATGAGTTAATCTATTTCATTTTTAAAGTCAAATGAAGACCCAAAATACCTTTAAATCTAATTTAGAAATATATACATCTTTCAAAATAAAGAAGCTGACATTTTTAATATAGTAAAGCTTTTAAGTGGTATATAATAGGTATGGTTTGGACATCTTGATAGGTTGTTAGACAAGTAAGTACATGTGGATAAATTCTGTATATCTTAAGATGACAAACAAATTTATAAATATGAATGAAGTGAGCCAAAGTTTACTTTTGTGAAACTCATTTTATGGTGCTGAGCGTCACAGGGCTTTAAACATGATAACAAGGGAGAACTCTACCACTGGGCTACATTCCCACCCCAAACAGCTCACAAATAATAAGCTGACTTAAATATTGATTTTCTGCAAAAAGAAAAAAATGAGAATTCAACTACTTTCCAACAGTCTTGAGAAAGATATAAGCTTATTACAATGGGGGCCTGGGGGCTTGTTCTAAGAACCTGAAAGTAAGAGTGTCATCCCGGGTCCTGCTTGCTATAGCTACCCAATGCCTGTGGGAGGCAGGGGTGGTACATATGGAGGCCCTTCCAAGGCCTCCATAGGTAGTGTCACCGAGGAAGGGCCGGCCGAATGGGATGAGAGGGAAACGTAACGGGGACAGACAACCATTTCACTCACACTTTCCTGAGTCAGGATCCATCCCAGAGCCACCAGGGAGCCACATGAGCCAGGGACCGGTGCTTCCCTCCCTTATCTATTTTCCCTTGGACTAGAGACAGCTGAACTACACGCTCTTAAAAACTCTTTCGGGTTTTGATGTTCTAAAACAGATTTATGCACTAAATTAATCAGCACAAACTAGGTTGCCTCCTAGTCCACCGTACTTCACTTTCAGGTTCTTGGAAGTTCTAAAAGTGGCATTAAAAGCTTAAATTTGTGGTCAAAGGAAATTGACGAGGCGACTATAGTCTGCCTGGAAACCAAAAAATATTAATAACCATTAAACTGTATTACACATATTTATTTATTTCTGAGGGGTGGGTGCACAAGTCAGAGGACAGCTTGCGGGTGCATCTCCACTTCCACCACGTGGGTCCTGGGGACACAACTCATGCTGTCAGGCTCGCCTGCTTGTACCTTTTATAGTCCAAGCTTTCTCACCAGCCCCAAAAGCCAGTTTTAAACGTAGGATTATTGTAAAACATATTTTGATGCCTTACACTTGTATAAAGATATACAAATTACAGACACAGCTGTAGGTATATAAATATACAAATAAAAGTGTCTTACTGTGAAATACACCCCTTTAAAAATCAGTTAATTTTTTATATTAAATGACTGATCTAATGGGTTTGGGCTTAATCACTACTTAATGAGTTTGAATGGCCTACACTAGTCTGCCCTTATACAGAGAATAAATGGTGGGTCTTGGGACAAAGGCTAATTGGTGAGTGAATTTGTAAACTGTCAGATTAATTAATTAATTTTGACTAAATCAAAACGATATCTTTCTAATCAGATCCCTAAAGTCTAATTCCCTAAATTACTTACTGTAGGAAAATAGGGCCCATCTATTGGCTTTCAAACAAGCATTTGCAGATCTAAAATGCTGAATGAGGAAGCTAACTTTAACCTTGACCAAATTACAAAAATGAACAGTAGTGAGTAATAACCATGCGAATAGACATAATTTTCACCGTTGCTGTCACGGAATCTCTGCTCATCTCGTGCGGCCAGCGGCGTGGTGGCTAAGTCTTGTCTTCTGAGCCGACCGCTTTGGGGATCAGTCCCGCAAGCCCCCCGTTTCTCTAAGGCTTTGGAAC